TACGAGCGTGCGTGTAATTGTTTCAAATGGCGCTTGGTCTCATCGCATCGATTTCTTTCTTGCTGGCGTATAGAAATATATAATATCGTAGTCCCTCCCACACCCCACACATCTCGGGCTCCCGCTGCTCTTCTTGCGCAGTGGATGATTGCCACACGACGAGAACCCACGTGACCCCTGGAGGCCATTCATGGACGGCGACTGAAGCATGCCAGTTGGCGCTCGCCTAGCTATCGACTTATTTTGGACGGAAGCCAACGGCAATCCGCAAATTATGGGCAGACTGCGTGTGGGTAGTCGATAACTGGACTAGACACAACTCGACAACATACATTGCGTTCATAGTTACAGCGTCTAACCAAGGGTCAGCATTGTGATGGAAAAGGGAGCTCGCGATAGTTCCGAAGAAAGCCTTACTCAGAACGGCTTCTTGTGAGCGACAGCCCTTTTTATATAAAAATCGAAACGGGAATTTTTTGCCAGACGCTTGGTAAGGCTCCCTTAAGATTGGATTTCCCGAACTACAACTAAATCCATTGTAATGCTTACTTTTGTAAGACTAATTTTCAGCCGACGGGGGAAGATAAAACCAGAAAAGGAATGAAACAATACCTTTTAAGTTGTCTTCAAGCTTCGACGAAAATTATTTTTTGTGCTTTCAATTGAATACGTAAACAAAGTGCGACCCCTGATAACCGTCAGCCTACCCGAAGGGCCTAAGTCTTGGGTAAACCGAAAACAGTTCAAGTAAATCAGTTTCAATGTAAATACAATACAACCATATTTGTCTATGGCGGTAGAGGGAGGAGGGAGGGGGAGGGATAAAGCCGAAGTTGAAAAATATTCCGAAGAATAACATGCTTTTGGAGTGCTCCGTGCACGCCACTATTAGAACAATCTCTCCAGAAGTAGGCAGGAATCCGAAAAAAAGAAGCTAAACTGGCTAGGGTCGTCTTCAGAGGCGTAGCTATCGTCTCTGAAAAACCGAAGAAATACTGAATATGTGCATCTTGTGGAGTTAAAGCCACCTTCCACGGCTGCCATGGTACATAGCTACGTCAGAAACACACATAGTTACCCCTACCAGACTTTACCTTGTTTGCACCTTCACAAAAACAGCCTTATTTGATCCCTAAGTGGTGGACTTGCAAAACTATCGAATGAATACGACTAACGGAAGAAAACTTGGACAGAGTGTGATAAGAGAAATTTCGTGATTTGGGCTGCCATGACGTTTGAAGAGAGGCTCGACTTCGTCGTTCCCATCGACAAAGGAAGCAAATTGGATAAAGCAGTTGGCTTGACGAAAACCCTTATGAGCTTTTGTCTTCTCAAGATCCCCTAACAAGGAGAGCTGCATATGTAGTTATCTGCAAGGCGATCGTGACCTGCGGGTAATGTTACAGAGACCAAACTTTTTAAAAAGCAAAATAGAACGCTATGGGTGAGGAAGTATGGCTAGTGATGAGACTGCGCCATAGCTATTGCCGCTAGCTGACACTGTGAAATATGAATATCAAGTCCCGCAGCGCCTGGATGCATATGTTGAAGTAGACCTTCTAATTTGCAGCATAATGGCGGAGCTCATGCTATGAGCTCCCCAACTATAAATGCACCCTTAGCCGATTTTCTGTAGGGGAGTGGACTTTCTTCACTGAGAGCTCTCTCCTCTCTCTCACTGAGGGATTTCAAGCCGCTTGATGACGAAGATGCGTGGCGCGACCCCAGGTGGCGTGTCATATGCCGCCCAATAGTCATCGACACCTGCCCAGAAACGAAACTCATTCGGGAATCAGGGAATGGAGACTCTTTCTGCTGTGCTGGGTTGATTTATACCTTCTGTCTCCTCGCGGGAGCATCCATGCATGCGTAGCTGAAGAGTTTGCGGCTGAGGTTGGAATCCAGCCAAAAGCATGCATTCGAATGACTGGGAAGTATGTACTGGGAAGCAAGTCATAATGGAATAGCGTGGCTACCTGCCCGGAGTCTACCCAGCTCCCATTTCAGGGCTGGACAAGCAACTCGTGTTTGGTATCATGCCAAAAAATGGCGACAGCAATGGGCCTATTTTTCAGAATGATGACAACAAGTTGTAGAGAAGCATCAGGATCCAAGAAGCATTGGAAAGATTCGTTGGAGTTTGAATGGGACATTTAGTGCTCGTAACAACAGATGACTATTACAATTCCGTTTCTGCACCACATTCTGATCCATTGAGAATAATTAAACAAGAAAAAGAGAGGAAAGAATCTGGGAATACCAACATCTGGACGGCGACGAACGGCAAAACAATAGGGCCAGGTGTTGATTAAGTGAACAACTGATAAGATACGATATTTTGCCCGTTCAGCACTAATGGCAGCAGTGTGAAGAATGACAGGAAACACATCGCTATGGTGACATTAATGGGCAAAAATCACTTGGTATTGAATCATTTATTCAGATTCATTCTGGAAAGTTTCGTAATCGAAAGGGGCTCAGAGAGGAAACCTCCAATTGTCCACATTCCATTCTGTGATCCATTACCGAAGAAACCAGCGTTGGGAGTGAGGCCCAACTCACCCAAACATGTGGAACTACAAACCCCAGACCTGTGAAACTACGAGGATTCTACACAAAGCGCTCAGCTACTCTCTGAAGTGGGCCACACTTCTAATCAGCAGTGCTAAGTGGATCTCTGTTAGAAAGTTCAAGATGACCCCGGAAGCGGCCTGAATTCGTATTATAGGATTGGTCTTCTGAACAGAAGATTATTGGAAATTGAGCGCTGCCAAAGGGGCTTTATAAGCAGTTTCTGATTTTGTAGGCACTCAATCACGGCATGCGGGTGAATCAAGACACTGCACCACCCTGCCAATGTGGTAAACAACACATTTTTCATACTGAGTCGAACACGAGGGAGGGTGGTTGATACTAAAGACTTCGAGTTGGTCTATGGTGCTTTACGCACCCACACCATTATCGAATTCTGGTTCTGAAAATATTTTCAAGCACTCCTCAGATAGGTGGCCGAATAAGCCAAGCAAGTATACAAGATCCTCTTCGATTCGAAAGCTGAAGCTTTTTGCATCTACGATTGATCCTCATTATTTTTGGACCGATTAAGACAGAAGAGTTGAAGGTAAAGCTGTAGCAAACCTTGAAAGAACGACATGGTTGGGTCAAATCGTTTAACTACCCACACTATAAATTTCGCTAAGATTTTCCCTTTTTCTTCCCAAGCCTGGCTGATGGCAGTCAATGAAGCCTTTTTGTATCAAAAGATAAAGGGAAGACGACGAAATTTGAAACTTACTCAAAAGCAGGGCAGACCCTACGCCTTTGGCTGATTTGAGGCTAAAAAGTTGTGGAATCCACAAATCGTTCAGAGATATTTAGTGATTACCTTACACAGTCGGCTTCACCCAGCGGCTCATAGTCTTTACGGCTTTTTAGCTGACTGTTAGCCAGAAAACACACCCAAATTTTACTGCCGACGCCACCTGACTGAAGAATCGCGTCCTTCACAAGAGCTGAATAGGTTTGTCGTCACGACACAGGGAGTTCGAGGCCAAATTAAGGAAGCACATTCAGGTTATGGTTAGTCACAGCTGTTGGAACACCAGAAGGGGAACATTAGAAAGCGATAGGGCAATCAAAACGGATGATTCCTAACGACTCAGTTCATCGTCGAGAGAAACTCGTAGCAATCCTTTACCATCCCACTTGATGTTTTCTCAAGCAAACAACTTTCAAATCAGATTGAATCCCGGACAGTTACTCGTTGGGGTCAACGAAGCCGTCCATCCAGCTCGGGTCGGTAGGCATGAGACACGACTGGGAGGATATAGTCACTGACTTGAACGTCGGCTGGTCACCGTAAGTCATTCTATAGGCTATGAACGCATTCAAAACAACAATACGATTCTAAATGGGGGTCGAGCGCAGGGTGAATCTCAAAAACCGACGGGGAATTGGTTAACGCCAAATACTTTTTCCTTCTGTCCTTGATGCTGGGATGAATCAAGCAGTATTCCAAGAACTACTTGTACTCTTTGCTTTGAATGTTGAAGCCGAAAAAAGATATAAGGTCTATGTAAAATTTGAATTTTTCGAATAAACCTCAAATTAGTCCAAAATCGAGGAGCTCGACTCACTGAACGATTTCAGTCACGACAACCAGGGAAACGTAAGATGAAGCAGAACTTTTATAAGTGTACCCTAACCTGCAGTTACCACTTAACACCAGTAAAAACCTACAGCGAACTTAATTCTTATGCCAAGCCCATTCCTGCTGACCTATGACTGCAACTCCCTTATAGCCTATGTCTCTACCCCCAAAAAACCCTCTGAAAATTTTTATGTACATCCACAAAAGCAACGAGAACTCACGGCAAGGATCAACCGATTTGAAGTCGAACCATGGTTCTGCGCTCATGGAGCCTCCATGTTTCAGAATCGAATGGATACCTTCGTGAGCTGAAGCATGTTAGTGTTAGTGCGAAGGATCATAAACGGACAATTATAAGTACATACAGTAGCATTATGACTTCACAGTTTCAACACATGAATCGCTGCTCAGGTTTTTTCGCAACAAGTAAACAAAGAAGACAACAATAAACATAAATTACAGTAAGAAGAGAAGCTGTTACTACCCGTAGTCGCAAGAACGAGGACGAAGTGGGTTAGTGCCAAAATACAATGCCGTACATGTATGGTGCGGGGACAAATACCTTGGGGTCAAATATCGTATTGAGCAAAACGCATACAATCGCCTCGGCGAGTCTAAATAGTAAGTGGATGTAGGGGCGCATCCCAAAGAGGTGAATGGGAGTTTTAATTGGTAAAATAAACTTTGAACACTCCCTTGGTAGGTTGATGTAAACTCAGCCTAAAATCTGAACAGTCATAAAGGTTTTCTCCTGAATTCGTCATCCGAACCTTAGCTTTTATCATATTTTCTGAGCATTCGTTTTTGCAACGCTTCAAATGTTCCAGGTGGTGCAGAATTCAAATGAACACTAAAAAGCCTCACAATGTGTCGGTGTGTGCGTCGTATGTGGTAAACTGAATGCAGATGGCTTCACAAGCTCTTCATTGATATCTTTAGGTGGCGTCGGTGGACGCGGATGAGTATCGAAACCGCTCCTGAAACTAGATGTGGATGACGTCACTATTTTCATAATCTGGAAAGCTCAACTAATAAGGTTCTTAAAAAACTCTCCAGCTAGTTTAATCGAATTTAATTATCTAGCCCATAAAAAACCTGTTTCTGTCGTCTCTTTAGAATCATTTGAAGTTGACTTTTCAAATATTTTTTTGAAGGCTACAATTTATTTACATAGAACCCCTTCCAGCACAGAAGCAGTCTTTCAAAGGTTCATTTTGACCATTCTGATTCCTCGCTGTCCCTTGTCCAATAGAGACCCTTCTGAGCAAGGAAGGAGCATAACTCTTTGATGGAAGAGGTGAATCATGCCCTACCTTTTTAATATTTAGTATACCATGAGGGCCTTTTCTTTATTGAAAGCAATGACCTCCTTAACAGGATTGCAGACGAACATGTTGGCTTCAAACTGCATCTCATATCAATAGCTGTTAGCTATTAAAAGCTATGAGCGGTTTCTTGCGTATACGAGTTCGTAGCCCCTGATGAAGTGAATATGGCATCGAGAAGTGGCTTACATAGAACGCAGCCAGGGCTCAAGGACCGTTGGGAACGCTTTACCAGGCAGACTCCCATAAGGAGTACCAAATTCCTTTTGGAGGTTATGTCGAGGGATACCGCTTCGTTCAATCCAAAACGAAGCATGTTTGAGTAATGCAATTAGCTAATTGTCCCAGGCGCGACTAATTTCGTTCAAACACTCCACTTGGTCGTCACAATCTCGTACAACCCTTAAATGGTTACTCTGAAGTAGGAGGACAATATAGTATTTTGGATTTTCTGGTAATTGCTTTCTTCGTTACAGACGCGCTATGTATTCTGCATCAACACTTTACCTTTGCCACACTTTGGTCTAGGCCCGACTCGCAAAAATATTGCCAGTTGTGACTGAAAGGGAGTACATATTTCCTATATACTGCAACTTATTATGTTTACTCTCAGAAAACGCCACTTAATGAACCGGCTGAGATTCATCAAACAGTCACTGCTTAATTATTGTGAAAAAACTTCTCATCCTTCTCTCTCTAGTATTTGAAAAAGTGTGAAGCTGAGGACTGAAAACTTTATGGTTGTTCGAAATCATTAATCTCTTGTCAAAGCATAGGCGACCTGGGAAAACTCACTGGATAGGCGAAAGATCCGGTTGTTCTTCTAAGATATCTTCATGAGCGGGGGGAGTTGGAAGAACCTGGAAATAGAAAAACTACCAGCTGTAATGAAAAAAGTGAGTAGAACTTGAGGAAAGGCGCTTTCGAAAGCATCAACCCCATAGAAACAACTTTTGTTTGCGCTTCTTTTTTACTATTTCTACAAAAAAGGAATAGACGTTGTTGTCACCTCGTTTGAGAGTAAATTAGCCTCACTAGAATAATTCATGAATAATTGTTTCGAACGCCGGCCCTACAAGCTTAGGCCCCAAGCAGCATTGTGCCCTTCAATCTGGAATCGTTCGCCAATAAGGTCTTTGACAACCTCGTGTTGAGTTGTATCAATGAGGGGATCATGGTAATAATGAAGAGTTTTATCGAAAGCCGCACATGGAGATTTGAAAGGCCTACCCCGGAAATTCTACTTGGCTCCCCAGACCAGCATGGAGCTATTCACGATGACCAGGTACGCAAGTCATAATGAAAAGTATTATCGAATACAGCTTACCTCAGACGCTTCGGGTATCGTAAGCGGGCCGCGACGATTGTAAGTGTCCGTTTCGGGTGTTTGGCTGCGGAAGTCCGGCTCATCTGAATCGGAATCCTCACCGTAATGATGGCGATATCCTGAAGTTATCAAATATGTACGGTGGAGCTCTTCAATGGTATTTTAGCCCGTTTCATTGAACCGTCAGACGGCAGCGGTTGGCCGTCGCCAAGTGACCAGCTCCACAGCACATTTGACTTGAAAAATGAAGATCATCTCCTAAGTATTCTATTAAAACCTACGATCGTGTTCCTCCTTGTGTGAGTGCTCCTCCTTATGTGGGTGCTCCTCCTTATGGGGATGCTCCTCCCTATGTGGATGCTCTTCCTTAGGTGGATGCTCTTCCTTATGCGGATGCTCCTCCTTGTGTTCGTGTTCGTCCCTGGGCGGGTGCTCCTCCTTGTGATGATGATCCTCCTTGTGCTCATGCTTCTGCTCGTCAGTTTCCTGCATTCGATGGAGGACTTCATCAACATCCCCGTGTACTTCAGCCACCTGGTCCTCGATGAGCTGATCCAATGGGACACCTCCACGTCCAACAGGTTCGAAGGGAGCCTCTGGAACTCTCTATTGCCAGTCTTTCTCGGGATACAGAAACATAAAGAATTGTACTTCAGTACAAAGGCTGTTCTGCTAGTAACATACATTGTAAAAAAATCTCGTAGTATTTCGTAGAGTTCCTGTCGGCAAGAATCTCAAGGGGTTCACCCAGCGCAAGGATTCGATAGGACATAAATGTAATTAGCCGAGAGACCCGCTAATCCCACACAATGTCAAAAGGGCTCGCGCCAAGACATAGCAATGGGAAAGATGACAAAAGAACATGTCGTTTAAGAAGGAACTACGCAACAACACAACTTTGGGAGCGGGAAGGGGAAGAGGGAGGGGTCGAGCTTACTCCAAAATTGCAGAACCCGTGTCAATTCCAACTATCGGAGGAATATTCGTTTTCTAGCACTTATTTGAACTTTAGATAAAATTTGGGATTTGTTGGGTTAAGTTCGTTGATTTGCTGCCTCAGATCTTGTTTTTCGTTCCCTGGCCCAGATACATTTGCCCTGAACCCAATCACATTTTATGAACCGCTAAAGCGCCTTCCAACTTCTCTACCTCGGTCCAGATGAGTACTTTATTTCAGGTCGTTACCCCGTGAAATTCGTTCAGAAAGAGGAGTCGTTCGAAAGGGAAAAATTAGAGAAGTTCAAGAAGCATTAAGGGAACAAACCGTCATTTATGTGATGGAACGTATCAAATGATTGTTGTGGTGGAGACACAACCGGTTTCGGATCCTAAAAAAATTATCCTGTAACAAATTCAATACTTGATGGTAGGAAGCACTGAAGGACTGCTGTAAAACTAGTTCAACTCTACAGCAGAGTAAACAGAGAGCTAAAATATTAGGTCGTCGCAAAGATAATTCAGCTCTGCAGCTAAAGCAATCCGCAATCCCAACCAAGCCTAGGGAAATGATTTAGTTTCAGGTCTAGATTCCCAGCATCAAAAGAAAATACTCACATGTTTCAGGAATTTCTCAAACGTCATCCAAAATTGGCAAATTGGAAATTCTCAATTTGAGTTTGATAATGAAATAAGCGCGCAGTACAACAGGTTTTGATAAAATAAATTAAAGTTACTGAAAACATATTAGCTGGAAGGTAAGGCGTCAATGACTAATTAGTCGTTGACAATGCTGACAGCAATCCTGCTTTCACTGCATTTTTATTGAAGTTCCTCCGCATTTTTTTTGAAGTTCCTCCTATGGATAAAAAGAAGAACTAGCTTTCAGAATATGACTTATCCATTTAGGAACTCTCCTGCGACATGACGGGAGGTACAGAAAGGTTACAAGATGAGTACAGAAAGGTTACAAGATAAACTCGTCCATACTTCTACGGTCGAAATTTGAAACACTACAGGGTGCAGCAAAAGCTCTGGCAAATGCCCGTTTCAGGTCTTCCATAAGCATTGAAGCCTTCGATCTCGACAGGGTCTGCGCCACTAATTTCTACAAGTCTTCTTCTATACATTCCACAAGTTGGCCTTTCTTAAAGATGCCATTTTACGGAATGGTGACTAGTAAAAACCAACGAGCCTCCTTCCTGCACCTCCATCTGGCTGGATGCACTGCAAAGACCATCGCCAAGCAGCTTCTGATTCCCTTAAAACCGCATACAACAACATCAACAGGTGCAAGGCGACAGGAACTATGGAGGGCAAGCCTAGAAGTGGAAGGCCGAAGAGTGCATCAACAAGGGAGATCGTGAAAATCATTCGAGAGAAAATCCGCCACCACCCTCGTAGGTCAGAGAGAAAAATGGCCCTTGAGGTGGGCATTTCCGCTCGATCTGTTGGAAGGATTGTCACCAGAAACCTTTGACTTCTCTTATAAAATCAGAAAAGCTCACATGCTAACTGAGCTTATGAAGAAAACTAGGCTCGAAAGATGGAAGAAGCTTTTCAAGCGAGTTTCGCAGGCATGGCACACCAACATCCTTTTCATTGATGAATGCCTGTTTAGACCGGATCAATTCCTGAACACCCAAAACGATAGTACAATAGCGGGAAGCCCTGCAGAAGCCAGCCAACATGGAGGGATTGCTCAGCGGTCTGGACGGTTTTTGGGGCAATCACATCGGACGACAAGATGCCCGTTTTCTTGGAGAAAGGGGTCAAGGTGGATAGCAAGACCTTAAAAACCGTGTTGGAGAAGGAGTTACTTTCCTGGGCAAAATCCCATTTCGGCAGCCGGACAAGGACTTTTCTACAGGACTCAGCTCCAGCACACAGGGCCAAGGTGGTAGAGGACTGGTGCGCAACGCACTGCCCAGACTTCATCTCGTCGAACAATTGGCCTCCAAACAGTCTAGACCTAAATCCATTGGACTACTCCGTGTGGTCAGTTCTTAAGAGAAAGCTTGCTCTACCCAGCATAGAAGTTTGTATGCTCTACAGTTTGGATGCACCCCTCGTTAAAGCATGGGAGGATTTGGACGAAGACTACCTCCGTGCCGCCGTCGAGCGTTTCCTAGGAAAATTTCAGCCTGTATTCGCGCAAAAGGAGGCTATTTCGAGACCTAGTTTGTTTTTGTAATCTATATAGCTGTTGATGAACGCTATTGAAGTTGTATCATGTATCGATCGATNTGACCGTTTTCACCGGCATGTTTACCGTTGCAAGAACTTTTGCCGCACCCTGTACCAGCCCTGAAAACCAAGTCATCTACCTGCCCTTCTCGACCGCCTTACTACTTAGCCCATTAAAGTTGAGGCAGCCTTCATGGAAAAAGAAATGGAGACCTATGTAAACATAAGATCCGCACCGACTGTTGGATTAACCCACGCCGAACCGCGTTTGCACTCCACGCATCTATGTGTAGGATCGGCGAGCATTTCGAGAGCATCTGCTAATGCTCGTCAGCGAATCAAACAGCCTAGAGAGACCACTATCTTCCTACGTGCGCCTTACCCGCGATAATTATCCATGAAACTGCCACCAGAAATTTTCTTGTCCTCCACAATAAATGAAGAACGCATTCCACATTTCCTGCCAAAGACATCGTCGACCTCAACATCACATAACCAGCGCTCACAATTGGAAGAGAACAGACATATCGGAATCTTCGGAAACTCGTTTAAAGCATGACTTCGAATCCGCGAAATTTCTGAAGAGCTACTTGAGCTGCTATTTGCATTTACACCTTATGTATACCTTTGTTTTTCGTTACAAGGTTAGAAATAATTGTTTGTGGACCACTGCTTCAACTGCTCTTTGAAACTCATAAATCTAATCGATAGCAGAAAACATAAATATAGGTACAGGCGACAAACAGAAGGAACCATTCCGTGGAAAGCTTGCTGGCCACGCCTTCCCAAGGGACCAATAGTAGGCATAGCGTCTGCGGCCACGGATTCTCAAGCGACCAATAGAATGGGCTTCCCTGCGTAAGGAACGCGGTCCTGAATAGGTATACAGGATGGCTGAAAAGTATAGGTCGCCACATTTGTAAGCGTAACTTCAAAGTAGAGACCAGAGAGACAAATCAACTTTATTGAGGAATAGAGTGGAACTACAAGATCACTT